TATTACTAACATTGTCTTATTTCAGTACTTCACACTTTACAGTGCTTTTTCAAATTCTCATGTTTGAAAATGGTAGTTGGCAAATGAAGTAAAATAAAACAGTTAATATTTGTCTATCTATTTTGTTATTGTTAATTCGTTATGTTACTTTACATGTAATGTTTTTGATAAAAGAAATGAAGACAACAGTAGTATTCAATACTCATCTTCCTTTATTGAATCATTAATTTTCAGTAAAAATACTTTATTAGAAATTCTAATTTTTTCTGTATAAAAGACTTATAATGTTTGCTGAAAGTTTTGCTAAATTTCGTGAAGATACATAAATCGTATCGGACGATGTATCGTTGCAATCGTTTTACGACTTTACGATACGATCCACTGTATCGCAACGCCTTTAGTCAAAACAAACGCATGTGACATGATTGACACAGAAGGTTGGCAGCGATCCAACAACATTCTAACACATCTGCCTTATGTCAAACAGAAAGAATCTTTTAAGAAAATAGAAAATGATTGGAAGGAATAACGTAAAATCTTTTAGAAATGTAAACAGTTTTTATGCAATTCATGACTGAATTACGGTCCATGTATTTCACTTTTTTAGACTGTTAGAAATCTATGAATTTTGAAATACATTCCTTGTTTTAATACCAGGAGAAAGTAAAATTTCGGCAAATCATTGTGCTACGCTTCTGAAGCAATAAGTTAGCACGTGTCTGTCTATTTCTCTACCCACATGCTTAGATATCTGATAACCTGTCAGTCTGTTTTCGTTCATGCCTATCTGTCTAATTGTGTATCTTATACATTAATAATTCAAACCAATGTTACTTTTTTACACAAACAACTTTTAAGGGATTTTAAGAAACAAAGTATTAAACAGTCTAAAACTGTATGTCTATTCGATTTTTGTGTTAATTGGGTTTCTTAGAAAGAAGTAACACAAGAAATAGTTTTTTTTAAACTAAAGATTGGTGCTTACTGATTTTGATGCATTTTTTCAATTTCAAAAACCCTTTGACTCCCCACTGGAACAGCGGTATGTCTGCGGACTTATAACGCTAGAATCCGGGTTTCGATACCAGTGGTGAGAAGAGTACAGATAGCCCATTGTGTTTCTTTTTGCTTAACTTCAAACAAATTGAAAAACTTCTTGAGAGAAGAACTTACAAAGAATATTTCTGGTTAATAAGCATCTTTTTTCTTAATATCAACATTGTGAATGGGCTTAATATTAGTATCTTTGTTTTCCAAGATTTTGGGGATAGTTATATAAAAATAACTTAAATTGCTGATTTTTCGTGTTAATTGAAGAGGGGGAGGTAATGTTATTATGATTGTAGTTTTAGGTATTGAAATAAACTGATATTTTTAAATTATCTCGGTCAAGGTGAACTATGGAAGTAAGAACACTATAAGGTTTGAACTCCAGAATGAATTAGCAAATTTAGATCGTTTATGGTCATTCCGCTTTGCATGACTAAATCTGTTTCATAAAGTTTATAGCTTAAAAGTTACGAAAAAAAATGCTGTTTACTACGAAAATTTTTTATTTGGAATTATAAGAAAAATTAATTTTTGTTTTTCATCCCAAAACAGTGAATAAACACACAAAACCCAGCTATTTATTAATCTAAAACATTGAACTAGTCAGTTTATTTTGTTTCTACTTTCTTGTAGTGTCGCCCACCCCACCCCAAACTCCCAGTATGTCCGCAGACTTACAACGCTAGAAACCGGATTTCGATGTCCGTGGTAAGCAGAGCACAGATACCCCACTGTGAAGCTTTGTGCTTAACTTCAAACAAACAAACAAATTCACGAAGTATTATCAAAATACGTAACTAAAAACACTATAAAAGGTAATCGAACTCGTATGATACTTAAAAACTTAAAATCTTTCATTGTAGAGACAAAGCAACCTGGAACGTTGAACTTTGACCAGACACTGTTGAACTATCTTTACATTTACTCACTACAAAAAATCTAAATGTAAATGACGTAGACTAAACACGTGGGAACACCTTCCCGCATATTCTCACTCATGCTATTGTACAATGCTTTCACCCTGCTATTTGTTTGACTTTCATGCAGGTTCATCGCTTAAATTTTAAACACGCTATTATCGCAGTGATTATGATTTTAACTATAGTTACAGGTCCCCTTTCTGCGCATGTCGCAAGGTTTTATTGAGTTATATTCAAAATTTAATTAAATAATTTTACCATCAATGAAATCAGCATTATAATGTACGTTATTATCCAATGTTTTATAGTATCTATGTTTTACTTACTTTATTTCAAAAGAAACTTAAAAGAAAAAAAAAAACAACTCTTAATCTTCGGTTTTGTTGTCCCGCGTCGCATAAGTATTTACAACTCTTAACTTTCGGTGTCGGTATTAGGGCGCTCAACTAGCAATTTGCGGGTCGCGCGTTCAAATCCCCGTCCCACCAAACATGCTCGCCGTTTTAACCGTAGGTGCGTTATAAGTTACGGTCAATGCCACTATTCGTTGGTAAAAGAGTAGCCCAAGAATTGGCTGTGGGCGGTGATTACTAGCTGCCTTCTCTTTTGTCTTTCACTAAATTAAGGACAGCTAGCGCAAATAACTCTCGTGTAGCTTTGCGCAAAATTCAAAGTTTTCGGTCTCTGCAACTTACTAGGGGGCCCTACCTGACCCTTGTGCTCTCCCCTCTATTTCAATGTTTTTGATAAATAAATAAGTATATTATATAGTTTTAACATTTACTTTCATTAGAATTGTTACTACTTAATGACTGTTTACTTTAAACCTCAGATATCTTGGCCACATAAGAAAACACTAGTAGGTATTCAAAGTGCTAGTTTGTTATTATATAGTTTTAGCATTTACTTTCATTAGAATTGTTACTACTTAATGACTATTTACTTTAAACCTCAGATTTCTTGGTCACATAAGAAAACACTAGTAGGTATTCAAAGTGCTAGTTTGTAGATTTGCTCAACTTTATGCATACGGACTCGGACATTTTGGGGAGTAATTCTGTTTGCTTCTAAGTACGTGAAGTATTAGTGTGTGTTGATAAGTTTGATATATATATGTATATATCAAGGTTGTTTTGTTTATTCTGTTAAGCGTTTGGGTACATAATTGAAGTCGTGTGAGTTTATTTACTGAGAATGTGACACTGTTTGACTTAATGCGATTTTATAAAACAGTAAACCAGTGATGTAGTGGTGTTCTCAGCACCTGGGGGCAAAGACACTTTTGGCGCCCCACCTCTGAAATGTTTCGATTATTTGTTTTGCGACTCATTACCCACTTAATGACAATAAAATAAATAATTAATTACCGCCTTACACAGGCCTAAAATAAAGTCACAATATAACATCTCACGATACCACAACTGTAAATCTGAAACTATTGAAGTATAGCCTACTAGGTGGACTTACATAATTTGTAAACCATTTTGATATTTATGTCAACCAGTATTGTTCTGAGTCACATAGCTAGAGTAATCGTTCAAGCATGCAGAATAAATTTCTGTTATATCCCTAGTTTTGAAACTTATGTTTTATATGAGAAGCCAGGCACTTGTGGTGTACATGGATTATAAAACAGATTGATAAAATACTACTTAAAGTTTACAAATAACAAATTTTATTAGTTTACAAAACTATACATATACTTAACTAGATTTTGTACAGGTAGCATTCTGGTATTCATGGTTACATTATATGAACCTTCCTTTCGTGCTTTTGCTGCTGCAAATGCATCAATTAAACTAT